AGCAGCACCAGTTGAGTTCGATTCGACTCCAGGGGAGCATGCGTGCAACTCCAGAGGTAGCGAGTTGGTTTCCTGCAACAAGGCCACCAAGCTTGATTAGAAATCAGAGTTATATGGTTAAGGGAAAAAGCAAGCACGGAAGCGAGAAAGGAGATAAAGCAGTAGCAAAAACTGACAAGGAACTAACTCTGGTGCAAACGAGCATACCTTGGGATTTCGAGTTGGAGATCCGGTGAAAGGCGGGGTGGATGATGGCGGGTGGATGGCAGAAACCCAAGGACGCATTCGTTTAGACTTCAGCAGCACCACGTGACTCCTCTTCGACTTCAGCAGCACCAGTTGAGTTCGATTCGACTCCAGGGGAGCATGCGTGCAACTCCAGAGGTAGCGAGTTGGTTTCCTGCAACAAGGCCACCAAGCTTGATTAGAAATCAGAGGTATGTGGTTAAGGAAAAAAGCAAGCACGGAAGCGAGAAAGGAGATAAAGCAGTAGCAAAAACCGACAAGGAACTAACTCTGGTGCAAACGAGCATACCTTGGGATTTCGAGTTGGAGATTCGGTGAAAGGCGGGGTGGATGATGGCGGGTGGATGGCAGAAACCCAAGGACGCGTTCGTTTAGACTTCAGCAGCACCACGTGCCTCCTCTTCGACTTCAGCAGCACCAGTTGAGTTCGTTTTGACTCCAGGGGAGCATGCGTGCAACTCAAGAGGTAGCGAGTTGGTTTCCTGCAACAAGGCCACCAAGCTTGATTAGAAATCAGGGTTATATGGTTAAGGGAAAAAGCAAGCACGGAAGCGAGAAAGGAGATAAAGCAGTAGCAAAAACTGACAAGGAACTAACTCTGGTGCAAACGAGCATACCTTGGGATTTCGAGTTGGAGATCCGGTGAAAGGCGGGGTGGATGATGGCGGGTGGATGGCAGAAACCCAAGGACGCATTCGTTTAGACTTCAGCAGCACCACGTGACTCCTCTTCGACTTCAGCAGCACCAGTTTGAGTTCGATTCGACTCCAGGGGAGCATGCGTGCAACTCAAGAGGTAGCGAGTTGGTTTCCTGCAACAAGGCCACCAAGCTTGATTAGAAATCAGAGTTATATGGTTAAGGGAAAAAGCAAGCACGGAAGCGAGAAAGGAGATAAAGCAGTAGCAAAAACTGACAAGGAACTAACTCTGGTGCAAACGAGCATACCTTGGGATTTTGAGTTGGAGATCCGGTGAAAGGCGGGGTGGATGATGGCGGATGGATGGCAGAAACCCAAGGACGCATTCGTTTAGACTTCAGCAGCACCACGTGACTCCTCTTCGACTTCAGCAGCAACAGTTGAGTTTGATTCGACTCCAGGGGAGCATGCGTGCAACTCAAGAGGTAGCGAGTTGGTTTCCTGCAACAAGGCCACCAAGCTTGATTAGAAATCAGAGTTATATGGTTAAGGGAAAAAGCAAGCACGGAAGCGAGAAAGGAGATAAAGCAGTAGCAAAAACTGACAAGGAACTAACTCTGGTGCAAACGAGCATACCTTGAAATTTCGAGTTGGAGATCCGGTGAAAGGCGGGGTGGATGATGGCGGATGGATGGCAGAAACCCAAGGACGCATTCGTTTAGACTTCAGCAGCACCACGTGACTCCTCTTCGACTTCAGCACCTCCACGCACGCGACTTCTCTTCGACTTCAACAGCACCAGTTGAGTTCGTTTCGACTCCAAGGGAGCATGCGTGCAACTCCAGAGGTAGCGAGTTTGGTTCCTGCAACGAGGCCACCACGCTGAGTTAGAAATCAGAGTTATATCGTAAAGGCAGGGAGAAAGCAAGCACGGAAGCGAGAACGGAGATAAAGCAGTAGCAAAAACTGAGAAGGAACTAACTCTGGTGCAAACGAGCATACCTTAAGAACTGGGTTGAAGATGGATGATGGCGGATGGATGGAGGAAACCCAAGGAAGCCTTGTTGAGGCAGCCCATGAGGTCGTTTCAGATCCAGCAGCCCCGTCATCTCTTAGTACTTCTTTACTGGGGGATGGGCGAAAAGACAAAAGAAAATAAGTTAGGCCAATACATACAGATGCGAGGAAAACAAAAAACAAGAGCAAACCGAAAAAACGAAACGATTGCAAAAAATGACAATGAAGTGAATGAAAAATGGAAACATCCATGATTCTCCGAGTGGCCACAGCTCGCAGAGGGAGGATCTAACTGCTACCCAAACCCAACCCAAACCGCGGAGGATCACCTGCTCGCTGCGACCATCATTGAATCAGAGGGACGGTGCACAATGAAATATGAATGATGTGTGGATGTGGGACAAAAAAAACAGCATTAAGCGGGAAAAAAAAAAAAAACGTTAAGAAGAGAATGACACTTCCCAGTTGCGGTCGGTGGTGGAATCGAGAGGAGATCCGCTCATCACGACCGCCATCGCACTCTCTCGATTGACGATGTTGATGTTGGTTAGCGCCGTCCAGAAGAAGCAGCAGTTGAAGGGTTGCCCGAAGTGGTGGTAGAGTAAACGCCGAGTTGTTCAAGTGCTAACGTCACAATGAGCAAATCTGCTAACGTCCTAAGCGTGGTTCAGTTGGCTCTTCTTCCATCACCAGGAGGAAGAATGATCTGTTCCAAGAGGGGTCGAGATTTGGGAAAAGTGGTGGTGGTTCGGATCATATTTTTGCCGCGCATTTCTCAAAGGCAGACGAACGGGATTGGATGAAATCTACCCGCGATTCGATGAAGCCGTCAGAAGGAGCCGCTAATCTGCCATGAGAGCCGCTAAAATTCGCGGGTTGCTTGTGGGGAGTCTGCTTGAGCAAACCCTAGCGGGAAGAGGAGGGTGGAGCAGACGAGAACACAGTGTCAGAACCTTTCCAGTTCAAGGGAAGTGGTTTCAGTTGGATCATTTTTTTGGCTGACAATTTCGGCGTGCCCCTAATTTTGAACCATGGACAAATTTTCAAAAGAAAGGGATCTGAACACAATGCGTGTTTAGTACCCACATATTTTCCCACGTTCTGGCTGTTCTCACTCTCAAACCCAGCAGCGACAATTGAAGGCGAGCACCATATTCAGAGCAGCATTTCTAGTTCTGCCCGCCAGCATGTGTACTTCCATCAAAGGAACCTCAAGAAGCCATCAAACCGGCTTCAATGGTGGTCCCCACTGTGGTCCCCACCGTGGTCCCACCCCACGAATTCGACTTTGCAGTAAGGTGGGTTCCAGTTGTGTTGCGGTGATTCAGCCTCCCGAGGCGCGTGAAAGTGCCCCAGACTGGCGAAGTGGTTTTTTTTAGAGAGAATGTTGGCGCGGGAGAGTCCTCTCGTCGTGATTGCTGTGCTGTGCTGTAACCTGTAACAGAGGCTCAAAGATCATCGCGACTCGACAGACACCTGACTTGACGGCAAGCACAGAAATACGGCTTTCTGACTACGTCATGCATTGGAACCATAAGGGACCCGAGCCCAGAAGCACAGGTTTGGCCGTGCCTGAGGTGTGGCTGCGCAGCAACTTGAGTCTCGGCTTTGATGCTATAACGAAGATATTGAATTATCGCGAACAACAAGCAAGCCACTTACATCGTTCAACACTTACAAACTCACGATTTACACTCAACAATCTGATCTGATCACATGATCATATTCCTCTTCCCTCAAACTCAACAAAACATTCATATTTATATACACAATAATTCACATGCATATATTTTTGTGCCAATCCGACCCAAGTTTCTGAACTCCTTCCCACATCCCCTAATCATATCAGCTGCTACTTGAATATATCCTCGCACCAAATGCCCTCCCAACGCAACGTCCATTCCCTTTTTCAACCTACCGTATTTTTTCGGTATAAGGTATTGTTTATCGGGTAATTCTTCCAACACCTTAGAGCTGGTATATGTATAATAATTAGTTAAGTCATCCTTTCTGACACTCCCCGACCGACCTGTTGCCACACCTACAACTGTGGCAGGGGCTTGAGCTCAATCTTTAGGTCCGGTCCCGAACCACATACTGGCAAGTTACCTGGGTCCACATTCGGCACACTGCTGGCACCGGAGTTGCCTGCCGAGCCTGCAGCAGAGGCTTGGCCCGCAGCCAAGTATCGGGAGGACTGGAGAGCGTCAAGAATCATCTGAAGGAACAAGCGGTGTGTGTTCAAGCACACATGGGGAATGGTAGATGGCACAAACACAGGGGATGGGTCACATATGGGGAAAGAATCATCTGAAGGAACAAGCGGTGCCTGTTGAAGCACGCATGGGAGAGACGGATGGATGGCAAGAACAGAGTGCTGTATTCGAACGGAGGATGGGTAACGGTGTGTGCAGAGAGGAATGGGTGCAGATGAGGATCGAAGCGCAGGTGAGAAAATGTGGCAGAGAGGGAGGAGGCTTCAAAAGGCTGGTGTAGAATAGGAAGAGCTTTTGAACAAACGAGATGTGAGCATGTGTCACTCACCATCTGAGGTCGCCTGTGAGCTCTGGATGGAATGCTGTGGCCAACAACCTGCCCTGCCGCACCGCCACTGGCACCCGGTCCAACTGGCAGACGAGTGAGTAAAGGAGAGAAAAGGAGACATAAGACAAGCCAACAGAGTTCACCACGAGTGAATAGAGGGAGAGACGAAAACATGTGACGCATAAGCTTGAGGCGGCTCAAAACGGGAATGGGAGGAAAGAAAATAGTCGGCATAGGTTGAAGAGAAGTGCAAGAGAATGGAACAGCCTATCCCCCTTAAGAAGCAATCTGGTTCCTTGGGAAGCAGCACGTGGTACATTCAAACACTGCAGTTCCAATTCGGAAATTCACCTTCGCTAAAAGTTTTACTTCGAAAAGCTCCTGGCTGCTCTGGTCAAGCACGGCCGAAGCAGCGGCTGCAGACTCGGCAGAACCAGTGTCTGCAGGTGCGGCCGGGGCAGCAGGTGTGGCGACGGCAGAGGCACGGTTGAGAAGAGGGTATTCCGTCAGCACCTCAACAGCTTGGTTGGGAAGTGGATGATGGCAGGGGCTCGTATGAACACAGCTCGAAATGGGGAGGTGGGACAGGCGGGTGAGGCGTCAGGAGAGCAGTGCAGGAGGGATGGGTGTAACTGGGGAGGTGTGGGTGACGCTGCTGGTGATGCTGCTGCTGCTGCTGGTGATGCTGCTGCTGCTGCTGATGGTGCTGATGGTGCTGATGGTTCTGATGGTTCTGATGGTAGTGCTGCTGTGGAGGTGGAGTGAAGGGAAAGAGCTGTTGATCTCCATGGGGAGAGAGGAGGGTTGGGGGGCGTGGGGAGGGGGGTTGTGGGGGAGGGATAGAAAAGCAAACAGACATGCGGAAACACTAGGGCACATGCAGACATATGCAGACTCGTATACATACATATGCAGACTCGTATACATACATATGCAGACTCGTATACATACATATGCAGACTCGTATACATACATATGCAGACTCGTATACATACATATGCAGACTCGTATACATACATACAAACACACATATGGACTCATAGCCATACGCACGTGGGTGCGCATAAATGGAAATAACGCGATGCACGGTGCTATCCAGCCCCCCCAGCCGCGCCTGACATCTCCCACCCCCCATCGCCCGCCGGCAAGCCCACAACGGGACCCACCTGACTGCCAGAGAAGTTCTGGTGCACGGTGCAGTGCAGTCCAGCCCCCCCAGCAGCGCAACCCATCCCTTCCCCTCTTCCCATCCCTTCCCCTCAACTCATCCCTTCCCCTCTTCCCATCCCTTCCCCTCTTCCCATCCCTTCCCCTCTTCCCATCCCTTCCCCTCAACTCATCCCTTCCCCTCTTCCCATCCCTTCCCCTCTTCCCATCCCTTCCCCTCAACTCATCCCTTCCCCTCAACTCATCCCTTCCCCTCTTCCCATCCCTTCCCCTCAACTCATCCCTTCCCCTCTTCCCATCCCTTCCCCTCAACTCATCCCTTCCCCTCTTCCCATCCCTTCCCCTCAACTCATCCCTTCCCCTCTTCCCATCCCTTCCCCTCAACTCATCCCTTCCCCTCTTCCCATCCCTTCCCCTCAACTCATCCCTTCCCCTCTTCCCATCCCTTCCCCTCTTCCCATCCCTTCCCCTCTTCCCATCCCTTCCCCTCTTCCCATCCCTTCCCCTCTTCCCATCCCTTCCCCTCTTCCCATCCCTCCCCCTCTTCCCATCCCTTCCCCTCTTCCCATCCCTTCCCCTCTTCCCATCCCTTCCCCTCTTCCCATCCCTTCCCCTCTACTCATCCCTTCCCCTCTTCCCATCCCTTCCCCTCTTCCCATCCCTTCCCCTCTTCCCATCCCTTCCCCTCTACTCATCCCTTCCCCTCTTCCCATCCCTTCCCCTCTTCCCATCCCTTCCCCTCTTCCCATCCCTTCCCCTCTTCCCATCCCTTCCCCTCTTCCCATCCCGTCCCCTCTTCCCATCCCTTCCCCTCTTCCCATCCCTTCCCCTCTTCCCATCCCTTCCCCTCTCCCCATCCCTTCCCCTCTCCCCATCCCTTCTCCCCCACCTCCCCTCTACCCATCCCTTCTCCCCCTCCTCCCCACTCCTTTATTCTCTCTCCCCCCCCCCCCACGCACCTGGTGCCTTGTTGGCCACCGGCGCACGTCCCAGAGGCTGCGAATTGACTTTTGAGTTGACTTAAAAGTCAAAGACGAGTCCCGCGCACGTCCCAGAGGCTGCGAATTGACTTTTGAGTTGACTCAAAAGTCAAAGATGAGTCCGGCGCACGTCCCAGAGGCTGCGAATTGACTTTTGAGTTGACTCAAAAGTCAAAGTCGAGTCCCGCGCACGTCCCAGAGGCTGCGAATTGACTTTTGAGTTGACTCAAAAGTCAAAGATGAGTCCGGCGCACGTCCCAGAGGCTGCGAATTCCTGCAGCGCGCCGAGCTGGGTGAAGGGACGGGAGTGAAGGGAAGGGGGAAGGGGGAGTGGGGGGAGAGGGGGTGCGGAGGAGGGAGGAGAAGGAGGCGCGCGGGAGACTCAGTTGGGATGTTTGGAAACTAGAAAAGGAAGCCGCGAACTCCTGCAGGGCGGAAGTATGATCCAAAGAAACATGAGATGCGCAATCCGCATTGCGCAAAGCAAGCACCTCACCAACGCTTGGCGAGGTTGGCCAACGCATGGTGGTGCTTTCCCCGCCGGGAATGACGAGCGCGTCCGTGCGGACTTCCGCAGCTCTGCGTCCGTGCGCACCTCCGCAGCGCTGTGGGATGGGGGGAGGGAGCGAGAGGGAGCGAGGGACGCACGGGAATGATGAACCAGCCGCAGCTCCGCGCTCGTGCAGAGGAATGAGCAACAAACAACAAAGTCATTCATAAAGTCATCAAAGCCAGTTACACTAATTTCGCTGTTCAGAACAATGTGCTCTCTGTACGAACGAGCCTTGAACGAGACTTGCAGCGCCAGCAATGAGCAAAAGACATGAATGCCGAAAGAAGCCAGCACTTTCATTTAAATCGAACGACCAGACGCCGACCCGGAACCCGCGGCCACGGCAGTCGAACAAGAGCAGTTGATTTGTGCGATCGAAAATGAAGCAGCGGACGGGTCACGGATCAGCTTCAACTGACGGATCAGCTCGAAATTGCCGATTTGTTTAGACGTCCGCTTAGGCCACGATCAGCATGAAGTCACGGCTTAAAGTCACGGATCAGCTTAGAGCTACGGCGATCGGATCAACTTAGAGAATCGACTGAACGAATCGCGAATCGGCGACAACACTGCGCATTCGCGACAGCTCGATCGTTATCCAGCGATGAGAGAGACTCGCACAACGTTACTAGGCCGTACCTGTTAGGCATCTTTTCACGGCAATGCATTTGCGTCAGATAAAAACATAAGTTTTTCTTTACTCGCTAGCTAGCTTTGTGTTGTCTAAGTGTAAGCTATGCAGGCCCAAGCAACAGCACGAGTACCTCACCCGTAGCCTACTCCAGCGTATCTTGCCGCGACTCGAGCTTGCGGCAGGCAGCACCGATCTTGCCGATTGCGGACGTGGTGTATGGAAAGGCACCAAATGTTATTTCTTCAACAAAGAACGTAGCGAATCTGCTTCGATCTCCCCCACACTTCGCCTCGATCTTTCACTATCCCCACAACCCATCCCATTCCACGCCTTCCGCACGCCCTAGATAATTGTCCTGCGAACTTGCGTCGGTGAATTTGTCAAACAACTTTCTCAGCTGTCACACCAACGTTGTTATGTCACTCCGACCCTTGTCTTCCTATGCATCTGTCTCCCGCTGCCAACTGCCGACCAGAAAAGATCAGAGCTCACAATAGGAAGTCGCTCTCTAGAATCTCACTTTCTGTTTTCAGATACTCATTTTTTTCATCTAGCCATGCCGTACGTGCCTCCCCACATGCGAGCTGGTGCAACGATTCCCGGTTCCGAGCCTCCTCCGGGGAGAACGCCAGCAGCTTCGGGTCGAGGACATGCAGGCTCGGAAAATAGGTCTGGGAGAGGCCGAGGCAGAGGCCGTGGTCGAGGCAGAGTCCTTTCGATAAGAAATGCTCCCGATGTTGCACGGGCTACGATAATTGACGATTTTGCTGAGCGAGAATCATCCGCTATCGGAGCATCTTGCACCGGCAACTGTGCTTGTAACGGGGGAAATGGTCGCTGCAACCGCATGCTCCTCAGATTTCGACCGTTCAAAGGGAGGAGCTACGTGCATCTACAGGATCAGAACCTATCCCTTCTGTTTAAAGTTCCAGATTCCGACATTGTCCATATCGAGTCACCTGATATCGAAACCACCCAGCCGCATGAGGATTCCCCTTCTTCTGAAACCGCAACCCCCGCTATAGATTCTCGTTCAGCTGCTTCCGCCTCTGTGGATTCCCCCTCCACCTCCCTTCCTCCCCCTATCGCGACCCCGACCTCCTTATTCGACGCCATTGCCGGGCCGCTTCGCGCGGGGTTGGATGCGGTTCACAGGGATATGCAATTTGCCGCCGAGTCGCAGCTAAGGCGGCCCACTTTGGACCGATGCAAACTCGTGGTGCGGCTCGGGAAGCTGCTCTTCGGGCCGCCGTTTGAAGCTCCGGGGTAAGACATGTATGAGAGAAGAGCGGCGAGATTGGGGGTGAGGTAGGGGGATAATGCCTTCGACGGGGAAGTGAGGGAGGGGTGGATACAAGCTCGTGGTGCGGCGGCTGGGAAAGGTGCCGTTTGCGCTTTCATTCGGATTCAGGTTTTCGGGTTTAAGGTGAGTGAGTCGGTTGGGAAGAGACAGATGTGGGAAACAGGAGTGAGGCCACGAAGGAGAGGGATGTGAAGTCGATTCTCAACAGACACAAGCACCGCCTCATGTGCTTCTCTGCACTTCTCTGCACCACTCTGCACCTTGCACCTCCCTTCACACAGGGATCTCCTCCCCAACCTGCCGCCCTTCACAGCGGGCGCATTGGAAGCGGTTTTCAACCGCCTACCAGGCGGAACGTCCAGCTTCAACCGTGCGGGCTCTACAGCCCAGCGCCTGCCAGCCAGGGTGCACCGGTCGCTGGAAACAGGCATGCCCGAGCCGCTCTTTCAGGCCGTGGAAGGCATTGCTATGGCGGGGGATGGGGCGAGCTCGTGCATGAGAGAGGCGTACCACATACGGGTATGTGCCATGTGGCATGTGAGGAGAGTTGTCACATACGGGTGCGTGGTATGTGCCAGCCATGCCACATTTGTACTTGGTGTTAGGCTGCAGGTAGAGACAGGTCGGCAGACAGGCTGGTAGACGGAGAAGAGTATATAACAAAAGGGAATGCAGTGAGATGTACTGAGATGGTATGCTGAAATTCCTACCATATACTTGTTTCTCTTCAGCATTTTTGTTCCCCATATTGCTGATCCGTTACAGGTAACAGACACAGACCAGATGGACTTAGAGTACAAGCTTACGTGCAAGCCTAATCCGGATGGCACAGGGGTTATCCTCGTTAAGGTGTGTTTCATTCTAGTTGCGCTCCCTGCATATAGGGGCTGTGGCGTCTATCTTAGGTGCTTAGCTTCACATCTCCTTATAAGCCTCTTCAAGTGCACGAAATCCCTTTCCATCCCACCCCAATTAGGTCCTGTCCTCCCTCAACTTATCCATCTCCTTTCTGCACTGCCTTGCGCTGAACCCCTCTCCATGTGAAGCGCAATGCTGTGCGCCATGCAGTCATTGACGTGGCTCGTCCTCCAAAGAGATTTTGGTCTCGCCTTGTGCTTTTTCTGTGCACTCCCTGTGTGCACTCCGGGTCTGCACTCTGTGCCTGTCTGCACCATTCTCCAGGTGAAGTACGAGACACTGCGCTATGCAGTCATCGACGTATCTCGGCCCGCCAAGGAAATTGACTTCCGCCTCATGCTCTCCACTGAGACCCGCCTCTGCTCTCTTGATGTAAGTGTGTGCGGTGTGTGTGCTCTCTTGATGTAAGTGTGTGCGGTGTGTGTGCTCTCTTGATGTAAGTGTGTGCGGTGTGCGTGCTCTCTTGATGTAAGTGTGTGCGGTGTGTGTGCTCTCTTGATGTAAGTGTGTGCGGTGTGCGTGCTCTCTTGATGTAAGTGTGTGCGGTGTGCGTGCTCTCTTGATGTATGTTTGTGATGCATACATGTGCTGCTCTCACGTGACCTGGGCTTCCCACTGAGGCCCACCTCTGCTCTCTTGATGTAAGTGTGTAACAGAGTGCATGTATGCATCATGTGCAGAGCTTGTATCACATGAGCCAGAAGCCATTGACTTCACGTTGTGCTCTCCACTGAAACCCGCCTATGCGACACATACACATGTTCTTGTAACGTGTGCTTGCGTGTCCTCTTTGTGGTGCCTATTCCAGTTCATTCAATGTCTCTCCTCTCAAGCTCTCTCGCTCCCTATCAAACTTCATTTCCTCCCCCCCCCACCCCTTTCCCCTTCCCCTCCCACCCAGGAGGCCACCCGATCCGTGTGTGAGAGCATAGCATCGACTGCAATCATCGAGGACAACTCAAAGGGCGGCTTACACTGGCCGATCACCTTGGACTTCCACGTCGGCATGACAGAAGCGCGTTCATCACCGCATGCACCAGCCCCGTCGCACCGGTTCAGAGTGACAAGCGTGCGGCATCAGAGGCGGCTGCACGTGCAGTCAGGCGGGCACGTGTGGAAGCTGTCACGAGTGAATGGAGTTCAGTTCAACCATGGAGGAGGGCGCCTCACGAATGAAGCAGAGTTTTCCCTGCTGGCCTGGCGAGATGCTATGAAGGTGCGGTGCTGGTGTGAGATGGTGCGGTGCTGGTGTGAGTGTGTGCGTGTGTATGTGCATGCGTTTGTGTGCTTAGAAGGTGTGCTTCCTGCTTCCCAGGGTTCTCATAGAGCTCTTGGATTTGTTTTGCAACGGAAGTTGAGATAGTGTTTATGTCCCTAATTTTTTCCCCTCTTATTCGCGCCTTTCTTGATGCCATGATTGCTTCAACTGATGCAGTTCAATGCGGAAGTAAGTGCAGGCATGGGTGCTAGTACTCCTCCTTCCTCCCTACCCAGCAAGCCCCCGCCTACAAGCTACTCTGCGGAATCTTGCTTTGACTCAAGCTTGCAGCAGGCAGCACCACAGTGGACTCCAGACAGCATTCTCGCTGATTGCCCTGCCCTAATAGCCTGGTTGGAGCAGCACCT